ATCGTGGTATAGCACCAAGCTCCCCTGAGCAAGGAGGAGATCTGGCACCACGGGAAAGTGAATGAAAGAGCCCTTTGACATGTACGGAGAATGGAGTAAGAAGAAAGGGGCCAAGTATGCCAGAAAGAGAAAATAACTACCGATCGAAGAGGTCCAAACAGTGCGGCGGTCAGAAACTGGCGGGATTGTCATGCCCCTCCCCTAGTCATGCGCACTGGATCCCTGCACGTGATGGGGGAGCGGGCACGAAAATCCTTTTTGCTTTCAATATCTATTGGTCAGGGTTGGCGCAGGCGCACTATATCCCAGAGGTGTGATGCACAGAGACCATAAAGAAGATCCTCCCAATATCTTGTGACTGGCCAAATCATTCCAGGGCAGCCATTTTGTGATCAGGCACACCTCCATGGCAGCCATTGTACGGTCATGCCCACTACCCATTCACAAAATTCCATCATCACTCACAGAGACCTTTTGCATTTAATATGGGTGTAACATAGCAGAAAAGTCCATCGTACAAATTTCATTTCAATCTTAAATTTGCAGTGCCTTCTCTTGGACTCACCCCTTCCACAAACACACTTTCTAAAATAAGAGGATAATAACAGCAGTCTACATGGCTGTTTTAAACATTATCGTGATAATGTGAACTACTACGTAAATGCTCAGATCACTCCTACAATGCCACCATCTTGTTGGGAGAAAGGGATTTTCTTGGGCAGCCTCTCTGTGAAGAGAGTAACAAATGCATGCACACATACATGAAGCCGCCTTAGATGGATTCAGACCACTGATCTACCCAGGTCAGTATCGTCTCCTCTGACTAGTGACAGCTCACATACTACCAATCCTTTTAAATGGAGATGCCAAGGATTGAAACTTGGACCTTCTGCCTGCAAAGCAGATGCTCTGCCACGGAGCCATGGCCCCTCAAGGGGGAGGAGTACGCGTGCGTGTCTGACATGGCAGGGGGAGATTTCCTTAATGAAAGTGTCAGAATCAGACCATTCGGGTCAATCTGGATATGCACTGGTGTTCTGATGAGCATAGCTAATTGCCCTACTTGCTTGCATACTATCCCAAAAGCTTTATCTTTGTATTCTCACACTGGCTTCTTGTTCTCAGGCTGATTGTAACACCTGCTAGCTATGAATCAACTATTATACAAAGTCCTCCTCTGACATTCTCAGGACGAGGGGGTAGTTGAAACAGGCTTGGTTGTCTATTGTAGATAGTGCGCTTGGTACTCTTTTATGAGAAACCTCCTCCACAAGGGCCAGGAGATTGTTCGCTTCTCATGATGTCTCTTAACCTTGCAGGAAGTCTGTTAGATAAACATTCTCACAGTTTTAAATTGTACTTTGTTAACCTGTCTCTATCACATGTAACCATGACGTATGAATGTGGGCCGCACCGAAGTTCTCGTAAGAGCTAAACTTGTATTACCTGCCATTACTGTCAAAGCCTTTGATTCACCTGCAACTTTCCTGATTGCTAATAAAATCCATAAACGGACTTATCGCGTCTGAGAGTTACTGCAGAGTCTTACAGAAAGCCATGGGAACTTCTACTGAGGGGCTCACTTTCTATCTGTTACATTTTTATCCCACCTTTCCTCCTAGGAGTTCAAGGCAGTATCCTCACAACCATCCTGTGATGCAGGTTTGGGCTGGGACAGCAAGAGTGACCAGCTCAAGATAACCCAGGGAGCTTCTTGCTTGAGTGGAGCTTTCAACCTGGGTAATCCTCATCTAACTGACTTTCGACCTGAACTAGAGCATTGGTTCAAGGAGTTGTCCTGTCAAAATTGCAGTTGCAGAAGTGTTCTGAGCAGGGTCCCCCAACATAAGAACCCTGCTGGATCAGGCAACAGTCCATCTAGTCCAGCATCCTGTCTCACACAGTGTCCACTCAGTTCCTCAGGACAGGGCATAGAGGCTGAGGCTTTCCCCTGATGTTGCCTCCTGGCTCTGGGATTCAGAGGATTAGTGCCTTTGAATGTGGAGGTTCCCCTCACTCACCATGGCTTGCCGAGGTGGGAGGATAAGCATAGATTAGAATTTATCTAGTCCCCTTTTAAAGCTGTTTATTCCTGTGGCCATCACTATATCCTCTGGCAGCAAATTACACATTTTAATCACTCTGTGTAAAGTATTTCCTTTTGTCTGTCCTAAACCTACTGCCCATCAGCTTCATTGGATGCCCTCGAGTTCTAGTATTTTGGGAGAGAGAGAGAGAAAAATCTTTGTCAACTTTCTCCACCCTATGAATCATTTTATAAACCTCTATCATATCCCCACCTTAGTCATCTCTTTTCTAAACTGAAAAGTCCCAGACTCATCAGCCTTTTCTCATAGGGAAGGTGCTCTAACCCCCTGATCATCTTGGTTGCCCTCCTCTGCACTTTTTCCAGCTCTGCAATGTCCTTTCTGAGATATGAGGACCAGAACTGTACGATGAGGCCAAATGAGGCTGCACCATAGATCTATACAGGGACATTACAATATAGGCCGTTTTATTCTCAATCCCTTTTCTAATAATCCTTAACATAAAATTTGCCCTTTTCACCACTGCAGCACACTGGATTGACGCTTTCATTGAGCTATCCACTATGACCCCAAAATGTTTTTCCCTCTCAGTCTCAGCAAATTCAGACCCCATAAACCTATACTTGAATTTGGGATTTTTTGTCCCAGTGTGCATCACCTTACCCTTACCGACACTGAACTTCGTTTGCCACATTGTTTTCCACTCACTCAGTTTGTGGAGGTCCTCTTGGAGATCTTCGCAGTTGGCCTTGGTTTTCACTATCCTGAATACTTTTATGTCATCTGAAAACCTGGCCACTACACTACTCAGTCCTAGTTCTAAGATCGTTGATGAATAAATTAATTATCAATCCTTGTGGGACCCTCACTGCTTACTTCCCTCCATTGTGCAGAGGGAAGGAGGAAATCCCTCACACACGCACACACACAGAGTAAGGGAAGCTAGAGAGAATGGAGAAGTCACTGTGCTTCCAGATTTTACCTAAATTAAAGCAGGCTGGGGGACAGATTATTAACGGCCGCAGAAACCAAATCAATGCAGTATAACTTGACTGTGTGAATCCATTTCCTGCCTAGATTCTCCCTCCTCTTCTTCCAGCAAAACCGCTTTGGTGTGAATCAGGCTAAAATCTGAATGTAAAGAATCTGTCGGATTGAACTCTGGCTCAATCTGGTGGGGCACCCCTTGAGAATCAAGGATGGTTGGGACACTGGGTTGTCCACCCCCAGCATCTCAGGGTAAAAGACATCCATCTAGACACCAGATTAACAGTCCAGCATTTCCCACTAGACCCAGAATTTCTAAAAGGACCTAAAGGGAATCTTTCTCTTCCATGTGCTTGGCTGGATTGCTTGGAGTTTGAATCCAAGGGCAAACACTGAGCAGATTTATGCCAGTGCACTATGGGTGGTTCTGTGCATATTTATTACATTGTGCAGCCTCGTGTGTGCAGCTTGCTAATAAAGGACTGGCAACAACCAATATATGAGCTACAGAAACTGGACTGATTATTAATCAATGTGTCGATTACCAGTACCCTTAAACTATATATTTTCAGTTCTGCCAATGGGCTTTCTTTTACTGGGTCTCTGCTGATCTCTTGTTCCAAATTTTGACAGCACTTGGCTCTTTAATTACAAAAGATATCTAACCCCTATCAGAAAACAGTAGCCTCTGCCTATCCCTCTCTATATTTTTTTCCAGTTATAACTTCAAGTTATTGAGCCCCCTCCACTACCTGTCAATAAAAAGCTGTGTTGGGAAAATGCTGTTCTGGCAGGCGTCCGAGTGGGGGGAAACCTTCCAGCCGGCAAGGCAACACCCAGGCCCTTCCTTCCTTCCATCAACGGCCCAAAGAAATCTGCCGACTCAAGACAGGAAGCCAGGTTCCTTCCCCCTCTCCACCCCCGTTTTTCTGATTGCAGCAGTGTTGACTCGGGGACAATCTCGGTTGCCAGCTGATGGCTGGACAGGAAATTCTCAGGAGCGGGGCAAACGCCAATTCCTTTGCAAGTGAAACTGATCCGCAGTCCCAATCTACCAAAACTTCTCAAATTCAAACCCGATTCGCGCCCAAAACATTTTCGAAGGCAGGGAGCCAGATCCAGGCAGCAGCCAGATTCACACAAACCAGTGAGAAACCACCCACATGACGTTTGCATCTGCGGTGGACCGCTAACAACTCTATCGCCCAAGCCCACGTGAAATCACGAGCCGCTGCGACTTCTCCATACCCGCTTAAAAATATTCCCTCTCGAATTCGCATCCTGCGTACACGAGGCGAAAGACTCGCACGAGCGTTTTTGCACTCGAAAGAGCCCTGCAGAAACCATTAAGTGATCGTCTTCCCTTTAAGCGGAGTGGGGAACAGTCTCGACTCTAGAAACACAAGCGGCGCGGCCAACCGGCTGCTACCAACGTGCACCTTGATTCCTCAAGGATGTTTACTCCGAAGTAAATTCCAGTCTGCTCGGGCGGACTTAAGTGCGCCTGGGACCGCAGCCCTGAAGAGTTCAATGGGGAACACAACAGCGGGCCCGCGCTGCCTTCTTTAGCCAAATTAAAACCGCAGCCCTTAGCTGCACAACAGGCACTTACTTCCAAGGAAGCCTCACCTAAAGATCGGGCTGCAGGGCTCCCGACTCGGAAGCAAGTCCCGTTACATTCCGTACGGCTTACCTCCTAGTAAGCGTGCACCCCGGCTCGAAGTTGCATGCCCCAAGGCCAATCGTGTTGAGTTCCATACATGCATCGGTTTTTTGCAAATTAGCAACACTCCTCCCAATCTCGCTTTTTTTGTTGTTGTTTTTATTTTTGCGCGCGCACTCTCTTTTCTATTCGCCAATTGCAAAACAAGCATGGCCGGATCCTTGCGCGCTTTCTCTCCTCTTCCTTTTTTGCCAGAAGCAGACGGCCGCACAGCAGCCCAGCCGGCCGCCACCGCCACTCACCATCTGCCGGTAAACTTCGCTCGAAATCTGATCGGTCAGCTTGACGGCTCCGGTGATCACGAAGAAAAGGCCCAAGACCACGCGGAGGGCGACGAAGAGCAGCGCCATGACTTCCCTCTTTCTCTCTGCTCCCCTTCCTGTTTGCTCGGAGGAGGGGAAAAGGAACGGGGAAAGGGGAGGAGAAAAAACACTGCCGGCCAAAAGGGGGATTTCTCGCCGCCGGAGGGAATCGACACGCAAGACTGGCGAAGCTGTGGAGTAAATGCACCACCCAGTCAAACTTGTTTATTCCGGACAGTGAGAGAAACATGGATTGGGTATTCATTCCAAGGTCTGTTCATAACTTCCGATGGACGCATCTACATCCTGCATGTAAGGGGCCTATATCTTTTGCTAACAGCCAACACGTGTTCATTTTATGTCAGAACAGTATCTGGATAACAGGTCATAATTTACAGTGAACACCCATGCGGTATCCTGCATGTAAGGACCAATTTCTGTTTGTAAGAAAGAGCCAGTGCACATTCACTTTACAAATCAAACCAGGGACCAGTACGATGCCAAACTTTGCGTGGACACCCAATCGGCTGCAGCCCAGAACTCCTGAGCTCACGCAATCTGCTGGCCTCAGCCTCCCGGCAGCCGGGATTACAGAGGTGTGCCACCTCGCCCAGCTGCTGGGGAGGCTGAGGCCGGTGGATCATGTGAGCTCGGAGTTCTGGGCTGCAGCGGGCTATGCCGCTTGGGTGTCCACACTAAGTTCGGCATCAAGTATACCTGGATCAAGGGGGTGGGGGTTCAATCGCAGGTTCAGCTGTACAAGCAATAAATGTAAAGTGAGAATGCAGGTGTAAAGGACATAACTACACAAATGGTACATGTGTTCAATACAACTTGTGAACAAGGCTCATGGCGGACCTGGAGACTGTGCCTGCAGACAGAGGAGTGCTTCTGAACAAGTGCAGGGCATAATGTTAACTAGGAGCAAGTTGGTCTTGCTTCTCATTTTTGGGGACTCTTCCCCTTTGAGCTCTGCCTGTGACTGTAAACTACAATTATGCACAGGGCTATTTTTGGGCAGGAATGAACAGGAATGGAGTTCGGCTGGCTCCCAAGTTGGCCACGCCCAGCAGGAACTCATTAGCATAATAGGCCACACCCAACAGCAGAAACTCATTAGAATTGGCCTAACATGCAAAGGAGTTCCTGCTACAAAAAAAGCCCTGGGTTTTGACCACAAACAAGGTCAACAGAATAAGAAGCAAAAGGTGGGCATGGCTGGATGACCACACTTCTGTTAACATGGGTGTGTGGCCTAATATGCTAATGAGCTGTCAGGGCTGTGGCCTAATATGCTAATGAATTTCTGCTGTTGGGTGTGGCCTATTATGCTAATGAGTTCGTGCTGGGCTTTTTCTACAAAAAAGCCCTGATTATGCACAAAGATATTCATTGTTTTGGAGGGAAAACTTTGACTTGTATATATTATGTAGCCCTGTTTGATGGTCCTCTGGGGCAACTGGTGGCCAACTGTGTGGACCGGATGCTGGATTGGAGGGACCACAGGTCTGACCCAGAAACGGTATCTTCTCTTATGTTGTTACTTTTATTCTATGCTTACTCCAACTATCCAAGGGCAGCATTCACAGTTCTTCCTTTCCTGTGGTTTCACCTTTGCCATACCGATTACATCAGATTGGCCCAATGTCATCCAGCAAATTTTATAAAAGGGTCAAGATGTAATCAAGGTCACCTAAATCCTAGTCCAGCACTGACCACAACAGCACACTGGAACAGGAAGGAAGCTCAAGAAAAGCAGGAAAGGACTGGCATGATTTTATTGAGCACATGTCTGTTTTTATTTATTTATGGGATACAGCAGTTATGAAGAGCAAGTGATACCCATGTACAGCTGCGAAGGCAAAGTACAAATCCATTTGAAAGTATGTGGAAATGGTTGGTAATCAATGAGAACAGAAGAAAATTGATAAATTGTCTCTTCAGAAACAAAACCCCCTGAATGATGGCTGTGGAAAGTAAATTACTATGTCTTTGTGAGCTAGCAGCAATCTTTTTTAAAAAAATCAGTCTATTTTAAATCCTGCCTATGTGTCTCTTCTGTATAGTGAAGGTTGCATACCTTTAGTCATATTGCTTGTATGTTACATAAACTCATCAGGACAAACTTAGTGTAGTCTCTGTGTGTATTCAAAGCAACAGAAAGGGAACCGTAGACCAAGTAGCTTTCTTAGCGCCAGAGATATTTGTAAAAGATCTGTAGTGACTGCAGATAATAGATCTACAACAGTAGCTTTCCCCTTTACATTCTTACCAGCCACTGTAGAGATGGCTGGATGCTGCCCCGGCACCTGCTTTCAGTTAAATGTTTATATCCCACCTTTCCTTGTGGCTCGAGGCAGCTTACAAGTCTCAATCGAAACATTTTTAAACGAAAGCACCTCCTGTCCAAAAGATTCCTGCAGTTTATACCTTGTTAAAAGCCCTGGCAGCACCTCCTGAAGATTTCTTACAGTGACTCTTTCCTTCCCCTCCTCAGGGAGCCCATTCCACATTGTGGGGAGCTACAATGGAAAAGGAATGGGCTTTGGTTCATGCCAAGCAGTGGTGGAATGGCCAGTAGGTGGCAGCCTGAAGTTGGTATCCAGGACACATGTGAGATGGTCTCCTTTAGATAGGTGAGTCATACATCAGGAAGGGCTTTCAAGGTTGACCAGCACTTTGAACTGGACTCAGAAGCAACTCAGAAGCAAACTGACAATGTAGTTGCTTTAAGATAGGCAAGTCTCATTGGCTAGTCCCCCTACAATTGGGCTGCCACATTCTGAACCAAATGCAATTTCCAAGTTTTCTTCAAGGGTAGTCTGGTGTACAGCACATTACAGTAATCAACCACAATCTTACATGAGCATGGTTCAGTGTAGCTGAAATGGCTGAGTCTGCTAACCAGATAAAGCTGATAGAAAGCACAATATTACTACCAGAGAATGACCTGGGATCCCATCAGCAGCCTCACCCCCCCAATGGCCTGCCAAGAAGCCACTTTCTCCAAAACCCTTCTTTGCATATGGGTTGGTAACTGAAGGCCAGGCAATATACACTCAAGGAGGGAGGTGGGAGGTGGAATTTGACCTCATCTAGGACAATGGCTATAGGTGCATAGAGATTCTTCTGGTTTCAAGAAAGGCATTTGTTCCCTCTTCAAACATGTCTAACTAGTGTCCAGAGACGATTACAGGTGTTAGTACTGCACTACAAAGATCCCACGACAGATCCAGTTAGCTCTTTTAAGATGGTTTTGTACCTGCAAAAGACAAAAATTTGGGGCTGCACAGAAACAATGAAAAATGTTTTACCTTTTTCACCACCACTGATCAAGGAAGATCACTTCTAGAGCATAACCTAAGTTTACAGTCATCTCCAGAGAAACTTTTAAGAGGGTTCCTCACCACACTGCCCACTAGGGATGTGCAAAAAAAAAAAAATTCGGTAAAATTCGGATTCGGGTTTATTGGACCCGAATTTTTTCGGAAAACCCGAATATCTATACCGGTAAAGCATAGATATCTGAAAATTTTCGGGAATCCCGAAAAATTCGGGTCCATTGTAACCAATGGGGCCATTGAAGTCAATGGCAAAAATCCTCTTGAAACTTTGCGGGGGGCTGGGGGGGAGGGGGGTTGGGGTAGAGGCTCCAAACTTGGAGGGAGCTCACTGGAACCTCTTCCCAACATGCCCACCAAGTTTCAAGGCGATTGGACAAGGGGGTACAATTTTATGGCCCCCCAAACAGGTTGCCCCCATCCCATTGTTCTCTATGGTGGGAAAAAAATTACTTTTTTCCCCACCATAGAGAACAATGGAGGGATGGGGGCAA